GTCTAAATTAGAATTTTCCAAATCAAGTTGGGATTTTTTCAAATCAAATTTAGAACTTTCCGAACAACATTTAAAACTTTCCAAAACAAATTGGGATTTTTGCATACGAAATTTAGAATTTCCATTTTAAATTAAGATTTTTCCAAATCATTCAAGATTTTTTATATCAACAAATGGATTGAGTTTTTTAGCTGCCTTATTAAATTTCTTAGACGTAGTACCTATTATGGATAATGAGGGTAGCCATTGTATCATTTAAAGACCAATTTCATTTTATTGATGAGGCAGGTTTTAACCTTTCTCTTATTCGGACTTACCCGGAAGGAACTTCCAAGGAATTTCCATCGATCATCCCCACATCCGCCACCTGTGGGACGCTCCTCTACGCGGTAATGAGCCCGCGCGAGGTCAGCTATATATATATATATATATATATATATATATATATATATATATATATATATATATATAGAGAGAGAGAGAGAGAGAGAGAGAGAGAGAGAGAGAGAGAAAGATAGAGACTTATTTCATAATTATTTTCCCAGTTTATATTAAAAGTAATAAAAACTAAAAATATTTTATTTCAATCACGAAAAATCTTTATAATTTCCATTTCATATAAAATTAAAATAAGTTTTAAAAAAGCATCATTTTTACTAACCTGTGACAATAGAAAAAATTAAGGGTCTGTCTTGAGTTCAGTGCTTTGTAAGGAAGGCATGTTTATGGAGGTGATTTGGCCGAGACCAAGCTCAACAAATAGGCATTTCCCCTTAATTAATTATTTAATTATTATTAAACATTTTATAGAGACTGGATGTGCCCTAGGAGGGTCTCCTGATCTCAGAATCAATCCACCGCTGATGTTATAGCATAAGTATTGTTAATTAATTGAGTGATCCAAAAATTACTTGCTATACCAGGACCTTGAGCCTAGAAAGTCAATACCTTATCCGCTGACTTACCTCGCACCCTTTAATTTATTAATTAAATTAAATTTAAACTTAGTTTTATTAACTTAAATTAAATTCTATAACTTTTTACAAACAAAAAGTGTTTTTCTTTTTTTATTAACGAAATTTACAAATGTAATTAATAATAAATGCAACAAGTAAATATGAACAAGTAATATGACATGTACAACATGAAGAGAAACTACCCATTGGTAGCAATCCAATTATATTTCTATATTAGAAGGTCCCGAGGCCATCTTCTTTTCAGACGCCTTGGAGGGTTATCAGGAATAGAAGAGGAAGCAAGGTTGGAAACGAGAGGGTTCGGATGGTTCAGAAATTTATTATGAAAGGACAGGTATCTGGATTGAGCTAAATCGGAAACATATGGTACATTAAGGTCATTATGGATGATTTTATTTGTGACAAAGTAGGGAGCACTAAGGATTTTACGAAGGATTTTGGAATGTAGGGATTGGATACGAGAGGAATTTGATGGTTTAGTAGAGCCCCAAAGCTCGATCCCCTAAGTCCAAATATAGGCCTTATTATAGTAATATATATGAGTCTTTTGTAAATAGTTGGCAGCTTAGAGCGTTTGTCTAGTAAGTGCTGGAGTAGTCGGAAACTTCGGGCGGTTTCTAGTCGTTTCAGTCTGGTATGGGGGTTCTAAGTGAGTCGTTTGTCAAGGTGGAGTCCTAGGTATCGGATTTGGTCAACAGGGATAAGTGGGGTATCGTTAAATGATACTGTAAGACAGGAAGTCATAGGTTTACGACGAAGAGTAAAGGTAATTTGATGGGATTTATTGTAGTTTATTTTAATCCTCCAGTTTTGACACCATTTTTGAAGACTTGTGATGTGTGATTGAAGAGTTTGGGATGCAATAGATGGATCGTTATTGACTGATAACATACATGTGTCATCGGCATATGTGGTGATGACAGTGTTGAAATGGGTTGGGATGTCAGCTGTATAAACTGTTTAAAGGATAGGACCTAGGATACTACCTTGAAGAACACCAGCGAACTGAGAAAAAAGAGATGAAAAAGCATTGTTTTGATTTACTTTGAAGGATCTGTCAGTAAGGTAGGACGAACAAAAAGTAAAAATATAACGTATTATTTATGTATGAACTACTGGTACCACTGATGGGGGGGAGGACTATGGCCGGCAAGTAACTGGGCCTATTGGTCCCTAATGTCAACCCCAATGACAATAATACCAATGGTAGTCTATTACAACTCCATCTCTGTCTCAAACCTTCTCGTTCTTCTAATGAGTTCAAAAGGTAGGGCCATTTTATAGAGAAATCTTCCTGTTTTACTATTCTGTGCGAACCCAGAAGCCTGTTTCTGAGAGAAGAAAATCGGCCACATTCTGTGAATGTATGAATAAATATTTTATTTCTACCTATAACTGAAGTTACACTAAATAAAATATTGTATGTATGATTTGGTTATAGACTATAATATAGGTTTGTTTTTCACTCCTTCTGATATCTTTATTAATACGGATCAGTTAACTTCTAACAAGGTAACTTCATTGTTTAACTGCCATACAATCGTTTCTTGGGTCAGCTGAGTTGAATTTTTGCATGAATAACTTATCTTGATTTCAGGTTATTTGTAACATGTACATATCAACTATTCAACTAAAGTGGGTTTACTTTATAAGAATTGTAAACATAAGGGGCTACTACGGTTGTTCTATAAATTAATTGTTAGTGTAGATTTTATTAATTATTTTATTTTATTTTTTCTTAGACCTTTTGTCTCCTCTTCGGTTTTATTATTCTATATTAGTACTTGTTAAGTTACAATATGTATGATGCTGTTGATGTAGAATGTAGAAAAGTCTAGGGATGGAAACTTATTTTTATGTTTTTTTTCCTTATATGTGTCAATAAAAAAATTAACTTCTTACAAAAGGAAGTTTAAAAATAAAAATAGTTTTATATATAAAACTAGGTTTATATATATATATATATATATATATATATATATGGATTAACCCCTTTTATGGATGAAGAAAATTGTATTAAAAATTTAATACTATCGGCCTTGAAAAAAAGCATTTTACGTATGAAAATTCTCGTTCAAACAATCAGCTTTGCTTAAAGTAACCTATTTAGCTTGGTTATTTATTTAGTGTATTTAAAATACAAATATGGAAGTACGGTAGAAATACAAATACGAAGAACCTCTGAGTCTTGATATATCATTACGACTATCTAATGAACTCCTGATCAACTCTTCACTAACCAACTAATTAATATATTTAAAATACATTTTTTTTATTTTCCATTTTATAAATAAAATACTATTACATATAATGTATTTTATTTTTTATTTTAAAATCTTGCAATTTAAATACTGTGCAAGTGTTTATACAAACGCCTGCAACCTCTTAATAGAGTTTGGCGCTTAGCTTACCTGCGTTGAGGGATTGCTTATCAAAGGCGCCGCACGGTAGGCGGTCGCTGTCTATCTAGCGGGACAAAAATCAAAATATCGATAGTGAATTGTTTTTATGGAAAATGGCATTATACGTATTTTATGCGTATTATATACTTATATAACAGAAGAATCAGTCGGAAAAAATACAAACAATATAAATAAAATTGAAGACAAACATCGACAATTGAGGGACACTTTTAATAATAAACAAAACTGGTTTGATTGCCAGAATGAACAATAAATAAATTTTACACCTTTCAGTTAAGCATTTTTCTTAAAAGAATGGATTCAAGATATAGAAATAAACCTTTAAATGTTAAAACTGAAATCATAAAATGTTTAGGTTGAGTTATAAGTAATATTTTTGCGATTGCGTAAAAATTTGAAATAAAGATCAGGTATGCAAATTTTAAAAAGCTCTAACTTTACCGGAACCTCTGAGATCATCATAATGTAATATTAATAATAATAATAATTATGATATAGGCAAAAAGTAATAAATTGGAAGATCGTGCAATGCTGTGTTGTCTTCTTTGAATCTTTTAAAAAATTCAACCTTCAGGAAATTTTTTAATAAATGTCTGAAAGAACTTAGAAGAGTAGATAACTGCATTTTTAAGGAGCATCAATGATGACAGTGAGTTGAGCACATTTAGAGATATTTCATTATAATGCTTTTTTACAGGTTTATTTATTATTGATTTAGTAATGTATTTTTTAGATTTATAAATAATTAATTATTTGTTAATGTGAAAAATAAATAATTTTTTAGCAAACTTTTTTTGTATCTTCCTTTTTTCAGATTAATATTTTTTGTGAATCTTTAAGTTGTATTCAAAAACATTGGCTAAATTAAAATAATCTTTTCTCAGAAAATTAAAAATAAGTTATAACTAAAAAAATATATAATATTAACTAAAATGTTTATCTATATCTAAAATCTATATCTATCTGAACTCTATTATAAATGTCCTCACCTGAGACAGATTGTAATATTTTCAATAAAAAAGTAATAAACCAAGTTCAAACAACTAAATATATATATTTTTTTATATGTTTACTTTTTTAGACTTAATTTTTTAACTTAGTTGTATATATTTAATTTTTCTTTTTTTTTTATAACGTGTGATATTTTAATTTAAGATGTAAAATATCTTATGAAATTTATCTTTTAATAGGGTACAAAACATTTCTAACATTAAATTTCCTTTTTCTAATTAAGTCGACACAATTTTTAACAAATAAAAACAATTAATTCCTTAATTGATTTTTGTCCCGCTAAATTGCACAGACAGCCAGCCCACTGTGCTACGGGTTTTTTCTATTCAGGGTATTAATATACTTTAGCAAAATAAGCATTGATTAATAAAAAACATCTCCAATATAAACAATTTCATAGCTATTTAACAGGAAAGGCTAATGGTTTAAATTAACTCTTTTCTATCGCCATGAATTTCAAAAGGACTAAAATATACAATATATATAATTTTATCTTTAAAATAAACTTCAATATATCATATTTTGTACTTTTTGATACTTGATATATTCTATATTTGAGCATTATGTAATTATTTGTAAATATTATTACGTGGTATTGATGAACTTACAATAAATAATCACATGAAAACCAAATTATTATAAATAGTTGTTCAAAAATAGTTTTCAAGCATCTTCTTAACTTGTTAACTTGTGGGTTACTAGGACTTATTTATTTTATTTTTTTAGCAGGTATAAAAATTCATGACATTAAAAATCATGTTTTGTAAAAACAAACTCAACATGTGGCATTATCAATCGTGATGAGAAGGATAACAAGAAACATATTTAAACTTTATTATAATATAGATTCCAAAACATTCATAAAATTTTAACACAATGAACAAGATATTTAGTATTAATAATTTGAGAAAAAAAAAATAAGTGGGATCACCAAGATCATTTGAAATTACTAAATTTAGATAATTCTCATTTATCCAACCAGATACAGAATAAAAATATTAATCAAACTAATTACTAATAGACCTTTTATTCCGACATTGAATTATTTTATTGAAAAAAATATATAATAATGCATTTTCAAATCAAGAAATAAAAGTATAAAGGTACAAGTAGCGCATCGATATCTTTCTAAAAAAGTTTTATGAATTTCTTATGCATACTATGGATTTATAAAACAAAATTGTATATATATATATATAACCTTTCTGAATTAATACAATCATCGTACGCATGCGAATTGTCAAGCATCCTTGATCCATCAGTTAAAAACCAACTTTTACAGTTAAGAAACATCAAATAGAATTAACACATTTATCAACTCAATGGTTTTTACCTTGTTTTTTCTTTACACCATTACATCAACTTTTATTTGTATGATTTAACTTTTATTCAGTAGAATTAGATCAACAGATATTTATCTTAATAACATCAACTGTTGTTTAGAAAAATTAACATAATTATATATAAACATTTATTAAAGTATCATCAACTGTTTCTTATAACAACGATGCCATTACTTGGCACTACTACATCAATGTTTATTTTTTACATACAACCATTTTTTTTTTGTATATAAATTTTTTAGTACATTTAAATCAACTTTGACACAGAATAAAAACATTTTTATTTGATATATATTTATATATATATGACATCAACTTTTAGTTAACACAATCAAATATCTGTTATTTGGCAAAATTACATCAATCTTAAATGGCACAATTAAGAATAGTACATCAACTTTTATTAAGCACAATTACAAATATTTCAACAACTGATATTTGGCTCATTTACTTCTATCTACTATTCTTTTCTTTATCGTTTTTTTTTTTTTTTGGCACAATTAAGAGAATCGCTTCGTTGTAATTCGGGATAACTGCAATGTAATTAAATATAACAGATAACGATAAACCACAGCAGTGCTTTGTTTAAACAAATCGACACACCAAATCGAAGAATAAAAAAGAAAGAAAGAGAAAAAATTGAGCAATGAACTGGAAACTGTACCTTTGTAAGGGGTATTTATGATATCAATATTTATTTATGTTTATACCATGAGCATTTTTTTTTCTAATATCGTAGTTTGCATTTATATTATTTATAAGTCCTTCATTGTGTATCTATATAAAATATATATTACCATCGAAATATCAGATGTTAGGATTTAGAGATTAATACTTAATTGTTTTTATTTACAAATTGAAATACATCTATTTTCCCTCAAATTGTAGCAGTACAATTTCAACAATAGATATATTTAGGCACATGAACACCCATTGACAATGATATGATTATTCTTGCCAATATTGTTATTTTAGGTTCAACTACAATATAGACAATGAAAATAACAAAATTAGGAGGATAGTATAATCACAGTCTTTCTTGAAGTAACACATAAAAGTATCTACACTTACAATTATCAAAATAATTCGATACATCAAACGCTTTCTTTCAAAGTTCAACACAAATGCCAAATATCAATTATTTTACAAAGAACCAAACCAACACAGCAGCGTACATTTATTACAAGTAGCAAAATGTTGTTATTTTATTTTGATAGAAGAATGACAATAAATCGTCAGTATTAACATTTTTATCAATATAAACAATATGTCAGAACAAGAGATAATTTCATTATTTACAGAAAAATACATACACGTTCTTGATATTTACAATAATGTCAGATAAATGTATTTGTTGTCAGAAAAAAAAATGGATTTACGTATCAGAATTTTTCATCTACCTATTTTTAAAATTACATTTTAAAATACATATCGAAAAATTCATGGCTATTTTACCAAGTATCCCATGGTCCCTTCTTTTTTTTTCCTTTTTTTAGTCTTATGCACATTTCATATACTATGAAGATATGTTGGAATTATTTTACAGAATAACCTAATCATCTATAATAACTATAATTTTTAACAAAAAAATATTATTTACTGGTAAAACAGTAGGAATAAATCAAGGTGATTATTAAACAGAAATAATTTTATAAGCATTTTAAATAATCTCCACTCTATTTAAAATCATTTTTCCAAACATAAAGGTATAATCGCTCTAAGATAGGTAGTTTGCTAGCATATAATGCACGAAAAAAAAATTAACATTCTTATGTCTCGTATCTTATTTAAAGTTCTATCACAAATAGAACTAAATAATTATAAATGTCAGATCGTTACCTTCACGTTGAAAATACACAACTAGGATTAATCCTATGCTAACAAACTTGCTAGGTGCATTGGACGGCCAGTAACATTCTTAATTTTGTTTAACCCTCAAGTGTTTAAATTACAATAGAAATCCTTGAATAGATGAACAGATACCACTAGATAAATTACAAATCCTGAATGATGAAAAATATCACATTAATAAAATATAACAACAATTAAATCCCATATTCGTAATACAAATGATACAGCACACTTTTATTGTCAGAATTCAAATTTATTTTAGCATCTAAATCCAATGAAGAATGTTAAAATATACTCATTGTGAACGGTAGTCGTATTGTTTTTAGAATAGTGAAAGGCAAACTTTTATTAACCCTGTAAAATGTTACAATTGACTGGAAAATGAGTATTCCACTTTAGGTAGATGAATGGTTTTTCAAATTAAAACAGTTGTCCTTTTCCTATATAAAAGAGTCTTTCTGGATTCTTCTTTACTCGGCTAGACTTTCTTGTTTCCTTTACTCGCAATTTCATATTAGATTTGGATTCAGTCCTTTTTCTTTTCGCTAGTGGAGCCTCATCATCTGAAGGCTCGTCAGCAATTGGTTGAGCATCTTTTTCCACCAGCAAGGTTGATTCACTACTTGATGGGACCGGCTCTAGCGAAGCCACTGATTGGCCATCTGATTTAACCGATATTGAAGGTTCAGATTCAGAGCTGACCACTGTCGTCTCATTTGATGTTAGACAAATTGATGATCTTTGGGGTGGAAGGTCATCAGGAATAGCTGGTTCGGGCCCTGCTTCTGAAGAAACATTTTCGGTTTCAGAGATAGCTGATTGTTCAGAAGGTAATTTTTTTTCGACCATCTCCGAAACCCCAGGCAGGCTTGAACCGCCCAACTGTTCAGAATAAATATGACCAGATGGCTCTTCCGTGGGCTCTTGATTTCGAGGAGTATCAGTAGTGGGAATCTGTAAAATTCCCTCAATTGATAACGGTACTTGTTCTATTTGAAAATTTTCAAGTTGTTCAAAACATGGATGTGATCCAATTTCACTTTGTGTCGCTGGTTCGCTCAACCAGGCAAGCTCGCTTGGCGAGATGTTTATAACAATATTGTCATGGATCGTCTCTTGAATACTTGGTTCATCAAGTATCGGAGCGTCTTGCGTTTGAGTTAGAAAAGATGGTTCAAATGACGAAATCTCAGTTGTGGATTCTTCCCTCGGAGACTGTTCTATGTTAGTTTCAGTTTGTGAAGCTGTTTTCTCTAAAGGATTTGTCTCGTGTATTATCGAAGATTCCTGTGTATTTGGTTCAGGTAGCTCTTCAGCAGGATTTAGTACATCAGAGGTTCTTTGTGTTTTAATTTCACAAGGTAATTGAGGCTCAGGTAATGCAAGTGTGGTAGCGCTGGCAGTTGGTAGCGCAACCATAGTTTCTTGAATATTACTATCAATCGTCCCATCACTATGTTTACATTTTGTTTCAATGCTTCTTGTACTGCCGGCACTGTTATTATCCATATCATGGGTCTTTATATCAATATGTGTATTTGTTTCTGTTTTTAAAGTTACGTCGATTTGTTCGTTTGGTTGTACCTTAGATTCGTAGTGCTGGTTTTCTTTTGTGTTATCAATAGTGGTAGTTTCTTCCACAATATTATGATCATTTTTAGAAACCACTTGATTGGGAACGCCAGATTCCATAATGACGCATTCATCCTCATCTTCAGTTCGTTTTTCAGGTTTATTATCACCTTCAGAACTATAAACACTTGAACTACTCTGTTCCTTTTCTAAAAGGGGCAGTGAAGAAGGTCCCATTGCTAAGATTCCAGTGAAGGTTCCTTCATTGGGAGATTTGTCTGTTTTAGTTTCAGTTTGCGAACACGTTTTCCCAATAGGATCCATCTGGATTGCGGAAGTCTCCGATGTATTTGGATCGGATAACACTGCAGTAAAATTCTTTGTTCCAGATATTTCCTGAGTTTTTGTTTCAGAAAGTAATTGATGTTTTGGTAAAGTTGCTAATTCCTGAGAAGTTAAACTCACGGTTCCTTGTATGATGCTTTCAGTGAACTTTTCACTGTGTTCAGTTTTTGTTTCAACACTTCTTGAACCTATGCCGCTACTTAAATCATAACTACTTGAAGCTTTGGGCGTATTCTGTTCATTCGAAGAGGAAGCTATGTCGGTATTTTCACCTTCTTTAATCTCCGATTCCTGAAGGATTAGTTTTGCTTTATCGATGGTTGTGTGTTCCACAATATTAGCATCAGTTTCAGTGACCGCGTGATCGGTTTCGGTATCGGGTGCGAATGTTTGTTGTTCACCTAAACGGTTGGGTCGATCTGATTCCATACTCACGCATCCATGCTCATTTTCCAAACCTTTATCTGGTATATTATCACTCTGAGTACTAATGTGGCTTGAACTACACAATGCCTTTTGCATTTGGGGTTCTGTTGATAATTGATTTGATAAAACCTCAGTTGAAAGTTCTTCCTTCAAAACTTGATCATTATTGGTTTCGCTTTGCGTAACTGTTACTAAATGAGTTATTTCGAGTTTCTTTGAAAACTCAAATATATTTGGTACGAGTAACTCTCCTTTACAATCCTGTGTTTCAAATTTTTCCTGCACTTCTGATTCAGTAGGTAATAGATCCTCTGAACTAATGACAGGTTCTAGAACAGCTGTATTAGCCATAGTTTCCGAAATTACTTTTTCTATCCCCTCTTCAGATGATTTTTTTTCAGTTTTTCTGATAAAGGCAAATTCATCCTCTACTGCATTAGGATCATTTTTATCAACCATTTCAATGATTTCATTATCACGTGCAACTCTCTGTGTTTTGCCAAAGCAATCGGGTCCTGATTCCTTGTCCTCTGATGTTTTTTCTTGTGTTTTATCATCATGAGGATTATGTGCACTAGTGCTGCATGTTCCTATGGGTTTTATTTGGGTCAGAGAAGACGATTCAGTTGGTGAAGCCATACTAGTTGCGACTTTTTCATCAGGCAACTGATCTTTTTCTTTTTTACGTTGGGAGATTGCTTCCTGACAAGGTTCCATCTCAAGCGGAGTTGAAGATTCCGGAACATTTGATCCTTCCGACATTTCTGTCGGATCCTGTGTTTCGGAACTATCTTCCGGCTCTTCTGTTTCAGGAGGTACAGCAGAATCTTCTGGTTGAATTTTAAGAGGCATAACAGTAATTTCAATAGATACTGGTATGAATGATTCATTCACTCCTTTATTATATTTTATATATTGGAATGTATCAATGTTTTTTACATTAGTGCGATCTAAATCATAGCAATTAGAATCCATTTTAATCTTTTGCTCGATAGAGGATATCGCTGAATCGATAGCATCAATTTCTTTCATTCTCAGTTCATAGAAAAGAGCTTCTTCACAATTTCCAAAAACTATAGGTCCTCCACCAGCTTTAGCATTTTTAACAAGATTCTTAACATTATCAACAATGACATCCTCAATAACATCTGAAGAATCATGTTCTTTTTTTGCTTCTGAAGAAACGCGTAATTGTCTTGACGCGGCTAGTTTAGTTGAACCTTCAGGATTAGAAGCATCATTTTCATTGACAGTGATACCTGTATTTTGTTCGTGTTTATTATTTTGTTTATTTTTTAATTGGTTCATCAGCTCATTTCCTCGTTCTTTCCATATCTCGTTCGTTTCTGTTCTTTTATCAAGTTCCACTGATTTTTCATAAAACTGGGATTGAAATTCGACTGAATGATTGCTTTGTTCTAGTTGCGCATCTGATGTCTGAATAGAGGCATCACTGTAAATATCACTAACTGAGGAGCGATATTCATTTGTTGAATTGTCTTCATCAATGGTTGAAGATAATTGGGTAGCTTCATTCGATTGTTCTATCTCCCTTTCCAAGCTTTCTACGAAGTTATCGGAAATTGCTATATTTAGGGAATGTTCCTCATTACTTTCCAACAAGTCAGTATCAAAATCGAACAGTTCTCTATTGAGAAAGTCACTATGAAGCACGTCGTGCCTCAACGAAGGCTGGTCGTACATTGAATTTGATTGATCGGTAAACCGTTCAGGCAGATTTGTTTCGCTTCCATGAAACAGTGCTCCAACGTTGCTGTTGAATACATTTAAATGAGATAGTCTATTAAAATTGAGTTGAGTTTGATATGAATTATGAATAGATTGTTGATCACCTGCAAAAGAAGCGTTATTTAAATAATTTTCTCTAGAAATTGGAGACAAATTATCAATTCCGCCTTGGTGCTCAATATCAGTTTCATCTTGAGTAGGATATGAATTTACAGTCTCCTCAATAGGATTTATATTTTCCCAAATCGATGGCCAGTTATTTGCCATTTGATTATGATTGCGGGAAATCTGATTTCCTTGTGAACAGTACGTTTCATAAACAGGAACAGTTGGCTTCATACTGTTCTGACTAATGACAGTCAGACTGTCAGTTTTTGTCAAATTTCGGGCTCTATTTATCTCGTTGAGATCTTCCTGAGCCAGTAGGTTTGAAAGTTGCGTAGGGGTATTCTCTATATCGTTGTGACAAATCGTTGTGTGTTGCTGCTGTTGTTGTCTATTTTCTTCTCTAGACAGCATGTTTTCTTCAAGTGCGGAGTCACCATTTCTTTTTTATTGTGTGTGTACAGTACCTTTTCCGTATCTTCTTTTTCTGCAACAATAGGAGGTGATTCAAAGGATGCAGAGGTAGGTGAAAAAAAATCCATTGTATTTGGGAATTGGAAACTTCCGGCACTAGTCAGTTGATTAACATATAAGTGAATTTCATTTGATACTAGGATTAAATATTGGGTTGGTAAGGTGATAAGTCCTTGAATAAAGTTAGGAGGCAAGGTTGACCAGGAAGATGATTGTTTGTCATGTCGATGGATAAAAAAAAGTTATAATAAAATATTTAAAAAAGGAAATAAAATAAATAAATAAAAATAAATTATATATACTTATTAAGGAGATTTAGAAACGTTTGAAGATGTTTTCGATTTTCGTCTTTGTCTTCATGAAGTTGGATGAGCACCTCTATAATTCCTCCTTTTTACCTAAACAAACAAACGAATTATAATTCACTCTCCTTCTACAACATAATATGTTATATTGAAGAGAATTCGGTTGGTGTTTTCAGTTAATTAGAGTACGAAGTAAAAGTTATATTTATTTTTATTTCCCTTGTGCCGACGTTTCGGGTCATGTTTCATACCTTCATCAGGGCTACTCGCTTAAAGGATATCGGATGAGTGAGAGGAAATATAATTTTTTTACAAAATTTTTACTTTGCACTCTCATTAACTGAAAACCCTAACCCTAACTTCTCTTCAATTATATCATCCTTAGTTAACAATTGTCCACTATAATAACATATCATAAATGGAGAATATCTCCTTCTATTTTTTCGTCTTCTATTCTTTCTATTCTAATCGTCTTCTAGACCACATCCCGATTCCTGATTTAAGTACACGGGGATAGGGTCATCAGCCCTACTTCCGGTCGGTGTGAGTTGCCTCCAGTAGGCTGACGGGCCTCACAAACCCGGGGGGGTTTCGGTCAGCGTGGCTTTCCATGGTGGACAGTCATCCAAATCGGGCGGTCACCCATCCAAGTGCTAACCACGCTCAGCGTTGCTTAACTTACCTATCCCAAGCACATTAGCCCGCACGGCTACCCCAGCCCCTATATATATATATGAAATTGAGCATTCATACTTACAATTAATTATTAGATATTTATTAAGATAAATATTCAATATTTAATAGAAAGGGTTGGGAACTCTTGTCATATATGATTGAAATTGACTTGACATAATTACTTATTAAGTCTCTTCAATAGGTAAGTGCATTTTTATTTAAACTTATTTTTGAAAAATATTATTTTCGTTTCGGGTTAATAATGTTATTATTATGTTGTTGTTTTCGGTTCATTTTATTAAAAACTGGGTTAGACAAGTGCTCAGAAACTTGAAAAAAATAATTTTTTCACTTTATTCTTACCACCACTCGTACTCTACCATTCAATTCAGTACGACAAATTACATAGAGCATCCACTGAGTCATGGTTGAAAGTTGCAGGGGAAGACCTAATCGTAGATGGGATGATTTATAGTTGGGCTATATTTAATTTTGTAGATTGTGTTTGGACAAGCACCACTTGACGTAAAACTATAAGCAAGAATTATCCATCTTATAGATATCAAATCTTCCATTATTATTATTATTTTTATTTAATGCCAACGTGAATTGAATATTTCCTCTCCACTGTATTCCCACGTAAAGGAAGTATAAGAAAGGCTTCCAAGCACAGACTGCGATATGCCTCGACATAGTTTTATTGCTTTCTATTACATTATAGCAGTCACAGAGAGCGATAATCCGCAACGATACAGTCAAAGGGATATCGTATCGCTGGGACGCATCACTAATATATCAAGTACATATAACAAATATGACATATTAGATTTATAAACATATATTAACTTAATAATAATAAAGGATTGAATATTTTAATTTAATTACTTAAAATTAAAAATTAATTAATGAGTGTTTTAAAAGTTGGGCCAATTCGCTTTCTGGATTTTCAACTAGTTTATTTTAAAATCATTTTGAAAATCGATTACTGCCAGATTTATCAAAAAAATAAAATTTAGCAGATAAGATAACGGCCGATCTGATATCTTTTATAACAGTAAATCAACCGATAGATTAATATACAATCCTTTATCATATCGTTGATATTACAATGATATCTTACGTAGCAACAAGTTCAGTTTCAATCTTCAAACTTGTCGTTCATCAAACACGTTTATTCAAACTAAATCCACATTGCCTTCTTCTATAATAGACATCAAACTGGCATTGTAATAACGTGGGAAGCGCAAAGATACTTCTTTCACGAAGGTTCTTGATGATTGATCCTATCCTAGTAACATTGATAGTACTTTAATATTTGTCAAGTATGATTACTGAATATTTAATCAATTAACACTAGTGTCTTTCTCCAGGTAATAATTATTCAATGTATGAACCTAATGTATTGTTAGGCGGTCATTTTCGAATGCTATTATCAGATAATTTATTTTATTTTTTTTTTTGTACACAGGCATATTAATGTACTTATTTTATTATTTCTATCTTAGTTATTATTTGTATGTACATATTGTATGAATGATTAATGCAGCCTTAATATTAATACCCTTCAATGTAGCAGAATGTATTATTATTCAATAAAAAAAATAATAAAAAAAACTTGTGTATTATTGAAAATATCAGATAAGTTATTAAATAACTATAAGTTACTATAATAAACTAAATAATGCTGGATGATTTATGAGCCATATTCTATTAATAGTGTAGAGGAGTATAACTGTAATATTTTAAATATACTTTAATAGCGTACATATTTCCTCCCAGATGCCAATGACAATACTCAATGACAATAAGTATCGTGGTTTTAAGATTCTAAACAAATATAAATTTAAAAAAAAAATTAAAATTATGATTAATCGGAAATAAAAAAATAAATAATAGAAAGTAAGCGGACAATCATGGCAAACAAAATTAATTTAAAGTATAAATAAATTATCTTGAAGACATTCACACCCATCTAAAAAAATTACACTGTTCTCTAGGATAAGCAAAATCAAAATTTACTCTCTACTAGTTAATAGCATTTCAGGCCTCTGGGAGATCCCAGCGCTACTCTCACAACCGCGTCGCTGGCATTGAGTCCAGTTACGCATTAGATACCTTCTTGTGTAAATTGACGCCAGACTACACATTTAATCCTCGGTACTGATCCTTTTTTATCGAATTATTGACATCTATCTTGAACTTCGTGAATGCCTTTCACCTCATCGTAACCTACAATTTTGTCAACTAGTGCTGCCCAAAATCGCTCTTGATCTTGGGCCCAGATGCCAAAATTGGTCTTTGCAAGACCAAGACCAAAACTGCCTGACTGTTGCAAGACCAAGACTGGTCAAATAAAAAATGAATAAATCGTTTTTGTGATTATAAATTAAGGCAATATAGTTACTAATACTTGACAATTTTAGTTAATGTATTTTATGCAAAGAAATGGTTATAATAAATATACTTTTGCATTTAAATCTTCCAATTTTTCATTCAGGCTTAGTTAGCTTCCCTCTTTCTGAAAAAATATAGTAATATTTCTATAGTAATAGGCTAATACGTAACTGCAAGACTATTGCGAGACTCGTGCGCAAGACCAAGACCAAAACCAAGAACTCATCTTGGTCTAGCATTTGAGCAACACTATTCTCGACGAAAATTCCCAGAAATAAGGGCGTTTTCTCATTAAATTAATTAATTTAATATACTAAAATACTCTTGAGCGCCCATTTGCTTTATGCTTGAATCGTAAGATAATTTGATAACAAAATCGAGTGAAAATGTTGCCTACAAAAATATTGGGCCATTTGGCCTATATAATCCGTTATTTTGATATGTTGTGTGTGGAGGTCAAAGCAAACGGCCCAATTTTTTTCGTGATCAAATTATATTACGATTCAAGTGGGAAGAACATGGGTGTTGATTACTTTTTAGTACTCATTAAACAGACAAAGTTTATAATATTTAAAACGTCCCATTTTCGAAAATTATCGTAAACAAAAAATTTGTACGTTACGACAAGATAAAGCCATTCACGAAGTTTTTGACGTATGTTCATAATTTGATAAGAAGGGGTCTATACCGCGACTATTTAACACACTTCTTCAGTTTTAACCATAAAGCAGTGCGTGTGACTGATATACTAATTTAGAATATACTACATATCGGTCAACCCAATCCAAAAGCGGATGGAACCTTTAAAAAGTGTAGCAGGATCTGCTCTTTGATAAGTAGCAACGATCTGGAAGAACTTATGGTTAATTTATCATACTAACGTGGAACCCACATATTAGAATTAAAAGAAAGGAACTTAACTGACGATTCGTCCAACTATAAAGACTACTAAACATAAAATCTAAACTTTATATTGAAAACAAATTACTGTTCTACGAGACAATAATAAACTATTTGGACTTATGGACTAGAACTTTGGGAGACAGCAAAATAACATCAAACGCATCCAATCCTTTCAGTTCAAAGCGCTTCGAACAATATTTAATGTTCCTTTTTATGAAACCAACAAAATCGTACACCATGACCTTAATACCCCATTAGTCCTAGACCTTATACCACAAAAATTCTCCATATTTCGGCAGAACCTTACCCATCATCCAAATCCCCTTGAACAATCCCTATCAAGCAACACCCATCCCTATAATCCTCCAAGAAAGTTAAAATGGCAGTGTTCTCGCGACCTTTTACAGTTTGTATATATTGGAGATCTGGCAATGGCCAGATTATCCACTCACGACATGAGTGTAGCACTCTCGCTAAATCTCCACTGGGTTTAGCCCCACTGACGCGGTTGAGAGAGTAGTGCAGCGATCTCCTGGAGTCCTGCTTTACCTTCCAAAGTTTGTGTATATATATATATATTATTTTTCTGTTTAATTTATATTTATTTATTGTGCATAGAGTGTGAATGTGATCTCTGAACACAATTATAAATGTCCTTTGCGACAGATTGTAATATTTCTCAATACTCCATACTCTTTTAATTCTAAAAGAGTAGATAGAAAAAGCGCCATGAATTTTTTTAGAAATTATTTTTTTATATCTTGTGATCATGTATGAATGTTGTTGCCGACATGTTACCGATTAACCTATTGACGACAAACCTATTGAAAAGGTCCATTGGTCGGCAGTCTCATGAAAAGAGAGCAATGGTGGAGAAATATCTGACTATAGATATTTTCAATAGAAGTAATTGGTTGGAAGTTTCAGTCAGTGAAGTACATACTTATATATTAAATTTATTATATTGTATGTAAACTTTTGTGTTTGTGTGTATGCATCACCGACTGCTACCCCCAATCAATTTCTACTAATACGAGAGGTTTGACATTATCAAAGATGGCTGGAATTTCAATTTTACCCAACCTCATTAGATATGTATGGCTGTGCCTGTGCATAATTTCCGTTACATTAGGTTTTATATTTAATTCCGGTTATTCGATAATTGCAGCTTTATTATTCAGAAGCATCTAAAGTCTATCTAAAATGGCGGTTTAAAAATTTGTTTGTTTAGAGTGAAAGATTTAAATATTTATTCAATACAAAATATTTATTCTCATATTTATTCAAAACAAATCATTAAATTATGGAGTATTACGCAGGGTGTTCCGTAAGTAGAGGGAAATATTTAAAAAGTTGATAGTAGAAAAAGTTTATCACGATCCACAAAAAAAGGTCATATGTTCAATTGCCCGATTTCCAGCAGTAAAGTAGGAAATTTAAGGGTTTTTTTTTTGTTTTTTTTAAGCGAATCACGTTTTTTGTTGAATAGGAAGCGATTACATAAAAAATATTTTATTTAAGTAACTAAACATTGATGGATAGTAAACAGGACCAAATTTACTTTAAACGAAATCGAGTTTAAATAAAATTTGTTTTTAGCCAATTATGGTTATAACAATATATCCCATAACACGGAAAAGCAAGAAATGAAAGATTTATAACAGTTAATTGTAGTCATTTTTGCATAAAACACCGGTACTTTAAGGTGACAAGATAGGAAATCACAACATTTCTTTACAGAACTTGAGGTGAATCTCAAAAACTTTCCTAGTAAACCTTAACTTAATTAACCTGGACTTAAACCTTATTAAACGAGAAAGTTTTTCTAAAAATGGAGTAAACGTAGTACAGTTTAAGAGTAATTTGTGGGGGGTTTTCAAACGAAAGCTGTGTTTGTCTACTCTTTTAATAGTTTTAAAAATGTACTTTCATACATTTTAAACTGTACTTTACTTTTTACTTTAAACTATACTTTACATTTTAGACTGTACTTTCGTATAAAGTAAATTTTGTCCTGTTTACTATCGAGCAATGTTTAGTTACTTAAATCAAATATTTTTGAAGTTATCGCTTCCTATTCAACAAAAAACGTGACTCACTTAAAAAACAAATCTTAAAGTTCCTACCTTACTGCTGGAAATTGGGCAATTGTTTATATGACCTTTTTTGTATAGTGTGATGTCTACTATTAACTTTTTGAATATTTCTCTCTATTTACTGGACACCCTGTATATATATTTATTTATTTTTTTTTTTTAATACATTTACATACTGAATTTCTGGCAATTGTCCACTCACGGCATTGTTTCTGGCAAAGTGCCCTCACCCAATCTCCACTAGCTTTAGCACCAATGGCACGGTTGAGAGAGTAACACAGGGATCTTTGAAAGTCCTGTGTTTCCCTCTATAGTTGAAGGAAGAAGTCTGGCGTGGAGTTGTATTGTAGTTGCCCTCACCTGATTGTAAATATTGTATATATGTATGTCTGTTTTTTTTAATGTTTTTTTTTTAATTTACTTATCTTTAAGTTATTTAATTTTTATTTATCCTATATACTTTTTGATTATTATTTAGTTGTTAGTTTGCTTCTGTTTATTTTTTGTTATCTGTGTATATGGTGTAAATGTGTTTTACCTCGCTATAATTACTGTCCTAGTGAAATAATATTATATTACTGAATAAATAAATACATATAAATAATCATTCGTACTACCTAGGTGAAAATCTTATTTAAAATATAAGAAAATTTTATTATGTATTTTCGCCTAGGTGACTGATATATTTGAAAATACCATTTTCGTTCTGACAATGGCCAGATTCTCCACTCAAGATATGAGTGTATCCGGCTAAAGCTCTCTCGCTCAATCTCCACTGGCTTTAGTACTTGTGACGTGGTTGAGAGAGTAGCGCAGGGATATCCTGGAGCCCTGTTTTCCCTTAATAGTTGGAGTTACAAGCCTGGGCTGGAGTTCCCTCGCCCGATTGTAAATA